GAATTAAAAGGGAGAGGGGTGGCACATTCAGCCACATACCCCTGTGCTAGTATGAACGAAACTGTTTTATTTCTCCTTCAGTGAATAAAAGAACAAGAGATCATGACATTTTAGTGATTTTAGTCAGTTTCTGTGACAACTTTCCACCATTTAGGAACAAACCAATTTCATTTAAAAATATAAACTGAGGTACAAAAGTTTTTGAAATGTACAGAAAATTGAGGAAGCCAACCCGGTACCGGTACTAGAAGTGAGGGCAATTTGCCATTTGCCCCCCCCCTCCCCCCCACCCACACAAAAACAAAGAAGTTTTATTAAGATAACTAGATTCTAGATATAATGTTTCACATGATTGTCGGTCGTGGAAAGCTGGAAAATGATAAACGGGAGGTATCCAAAAGTTTAACGATACGTTGCAGAAATAAACCTATTCAAAGTTGTTTTTTAAAATGGATTGACATCCACACATTTGCACTCTACCCTCCCCCTTTTCGTCCCCTGTAATCGAGCAATTCTGCTGTCAAACTTTATATTTTTGCTTTGCTTTTTTAATGACATGTTTTCCACGCCCATCGACACCATTTATTAATTTGGATAGTTTCGTGGAGTTGGGAATCTAGTGTACTTTGGGTTTTATATGCAACAACAATATGGTACATGTATCCTGCTTCTTCAAAGTCACAAATTGACGGCCTGCTCTCTGTCTTGCAAGACAAGGTGCTGCTAGCAGCTTTATGACAGTTTTGCGTGCTCGTCTCGCAACTTGAATGATACAATCCTAGACCGTGCACGGCCATGACGGCCGCTCTTAGCTCGCCATAAAAAAGCATGCGCACCACGGGCACCAAAACGAAGGGCAAAATGCCACTCTCACGTTAAAGAGGTCCTCCAAAAGAACAACATATCAGCAAAAGAAGCCATGCACCTAGCCCTTGACAGAAAACTGCACCTCCCCTCGACATCTAGCTATACAGGAGGAAAGATAAAGTAAACTAATGCATTCGAGTACCGAGGCACCCATACCCCGTTGCTCTTCACTTGAGTCTAATCATACGCTCCCGAGTGAACAGGAATTACGCAAGAGTTCAGGATCTCGAATATCACTCGCGGAGGGAGGCCGATTGCTCGGCGAAATGTATCCAGAGTAGCCCCAACCTGCTGAACTTACACATTTTGCCTTACTCGGTTTCATTACTCCTGCATTTGTGTGAACACCGCATAAGGACATTCTAGAAGCAGTACCTCCAAAATAAATGTCTGTCGTCATCAGGAATAAGTCAGCCCAGCGAGCGGAGAGCCACGGATACTCCCCGAGAAAGCCGAGTTCGAGCACGACCCTTTGGGGGTTCCTGCCAGGGGAAGTCTGCATTGTAGTTTGTAGTCAAGCAAGATATATATCAACTGAATTATTGGCACACATATGAATTAAAAGTGTATACTTTTTATGTTAAGTTTAGTTTTAGTAGAGTTTTAACGGCGCTCGCAACTGCATAAGGTCATATGACCGCCATAGGACTTGGTATAAAAAATGTAAATGTACTCTTATCAGTGTATGTGTGTATTCGTCTTCCCAGTGCAGTGTAGAGGTCACAATTTTCTAAATGTGTCACGACACGGTGGGCTCAGCCGCTCTTTAATTTTTGGGCATATTATGACGTTATTGGTATAATCTTAAAGCCTGTCTTTCCTTTCGTTTGATGAAAAAAAATACCCATCTGTCTCGAACAGAAGTTGAGATATTTGCGATCGAAAGAGATGGGGGTCGGCTTTTGTCTGAAGTAAAATAAGGTAGAGAATAGTCGCAAAATCTGGTGACTTCCAAAGCTTGAGTGTCTTTGGAAAGTGCAAATTTACATTTTTGTGCCTCCCATCAACATTGTAAAAAGTAAAATCACTCTCAAAATTAATGTGTTTTAATGGACATGGTAGGTGATGAGCCTAAAAAACTGATTCGATAAAACTTACCCAATAGTTGAGAAATGTCGGCTTCTCGGATTTCAGTATTTTTGACGAGCGCCTGATTTCACTACCATACCACACAGATGCCACAGCCATTGTCTGTTTTGTCAAATAAGTGCCTCTGACCAGAACTCTTTATTGAACCGTCATTTTATTACCAAAAGAATAATATTCAACACAATTTATGGAAGTGTCATAATTATATGAATTAAAATGAGTCAATACAAGTACAGGAAGATGAAGCAAGATTACACAATTTCGTGAAAACAATGTTAACATTCTGAAAGTTTTCAAAAACAATACCGTACTAGTAGTAGGAGATTTATCAAGATTTGCACTAATCAGCCACCACGTGAAACTGTAGCATTTGCAATTAATTGCTCTGAGGCGAATGGCTATACTTCCCCTCACTCTTCGACGTCGACAAAACTACTTATTTGATTTTTAGGGCATTGATCAAGTTAGAGACGCAACCTCATTGTATTTTAAATTATCATTCATGTCTGCAACAAATACACTGAGAAATCGTGGGATACATGGAATTCATTTGTCATTGCGTCTCAGTTTTGACAGGAGGTGAGAACATAATTTGATTTTGCCGCGTACTACCTTACACAAATCGAATAAAATATTATCTATAGATACATTAAATAAATTACATGAATAAGTAAATGAAGCCTACTTATTACATGATTGGATTACAACAAATCGAAGAAGAGCATGATTGAAACAAAGGTTTTGAACAAATAGATTTTTAAAAATGTCATTTTCTCTTCCAGTCTGCGAGATCCAAATCCAACGTGGTGTATAAGGTAGGCAGCACTACCTAAAAAATTATTCTGAAATTTAACACAAGGCACTATTGTTAAAGACATTGGGCAGTTTCCTGATGGAAATGCATTATACAAATATATTAATGCAATCACTATTCAATCAGAAGGTATAACACCACTGAAGTCCCACAAGGCAGCTGGTCCCGACCGTATACCATTGGAAGCCCTTAACGCAGATAAAGATACATCAGTGGAAATTCTCTAAGCTCTTTTTGAAAAGGTTTGCCAAGAGGAGGAAATACAATGAGACTGAAAGGAAGGCCACCTAATCAAGCTGCCAAAGATGGTAAACCTCAGCATTTGTAACAATGACAGAGGCGTAACACTCCTGTCCATACCTGTCTTTAACAGGATACTTCTGGCAACAGATGAGAAGCTCCGAGGAAACGAGGCAGGATTCCGCAAGAACTGATCGAGTTGGACCAAATGGCTACTTTGCACATTATTGTTGAGCAATCGCTTGAATGGAACTCACCATTCGTGGTCAACTTCTTTGATTATGAAAAAGCTTTGACAGCGTGGACGCGGAAACTCTGTGGAAACTCATGCGGCATTATGGGATACCTGACAAAATCGTCAAGCTTGTGAAGGCCACCTTTGATGGGACAAACTGCCTAGTCTTCCACGAATGACAACTCTCAGAACCATTCCAGATACAGACAGAAGTGCGACAAGGATGCTTGCTCTCACATTTTCTCTTCATACTGGCAATTGACTGGGTCATGAAAGAAGCCACCAGAGGCAAGCGCAATGGAATACAGTGGACCCCTTGGCAGCAGCTGGACGACTTGGACTTGACCGATGACCTTGCACTGCTCTCTCACACACATGCTCAAATGCAAGAAAAGACCAAAGAGCTCAACAGCCTATCAAGAAGAGTTTGTCTACGTATACATCCAGGCAAGTCGAAAGTAGTGAAGCTAGGAAAAGTTCCAAGCCCTGCTGTGACAGTGGAAGACACTCCCCTGGAAGAAGTGGACTCCTTTACTTACCTTGGAAGTGCCATCGATGGTAAGGGTGGAACTGAGGCAGATGTAAAAGCAAGAACCGCCAAGGAAAGGTCAGCATTCAACCAATTATCAAATGTCTGGAAAGCAAGCAACATCTCACTGTGCACCAAGATTCGACTCTTTAATTCCAATGTCAGGTCTGTGCTCCTCTACGGCTGCGAAACTTGGGAGACAACAAAGACAGTGCTGAATAAATTCCAGACTTTCATCAACAGATGTATGAGGAGTATCCTAAGAATTAAGTGGCAGGATAGAATAAAAAATGAAGAGCTGTGGGAAAGGACATGAATAAGAATACAGAATTAGAAATAGGACTAAGAAAGTGGGGATGGATGGGACACATCTTCAGAAAGCCCAGCGGTAACTTCACAAGACGGTCGCTGCAGTGGAACCCACATGGAGCACGAGGCAGGGGTGGGCCATGGGAAACATGGAGGAGATAATGTGTGGAAAGGGACATGAGAGAGATAAATGGAAGGAGCTTGTATGTGGCCTATACCCTGCCAGAAGTGAAAGGCATTGATGATGATGACTGTTCAATCATCTTTTCTTTTCTCTGTTTCGATAATTAAAGCAAACAGCCTGGCTACATCTTCACTCTATCCAATAGTAGACGTTTCGGAAACTTTTCTTCTACCTTTTCAACTTTTGAGCAAAAGTATTAGTATGAAGCGGCCCAATAAAGTGCCAATTCCTAAGGACGACCATTCTCGGAGTTTTAACAAAACCAGTGAACAGGACGTGGCAATCAGAGAGGAAACGGGTACACCTAGACATGGAAAACAGCTGATAAAACGGAGGAGGACTTCATCCTGCAGAGGGCGGACAACGCCTAAAAAGAAAGAAACAAATAAACAAACATGCAAGCAAACAAACAAATAAACAAACAAATGAACAGGGATTCCCTCGCACAAATTAACCCTTTAGCAAACGTTTACAAAAAGCACATCACTGCGCTATACACAATGCCTATTGTGGCAGCAGTGACGTAAGACCTGAAACCACCAGCCAATCTGGAGGCTGCATTGACGTATCTCATGGCACAATCCTTGGCTTTTTCCAAATAAGGGATAGTTCCAGCGCAGTGGATGTCAGCCCTCATCCCCGACGTGCAAGGCTTGTCAAACTCACTCACAAGGTGGAAATTGCAAAACTTCTGGCCTTCTTCGCTGTTTTGTGACTTCATTTTGTCAAATATGGATCTCAGTGACGCCACGCTCATGTCGTTCACCTTGTAAGCTTCAGTGAAGGTGTACAGCTTTTTCTGAGGAAACAAGGGAGACAATTATATCATTGATGTTAGAATTTTTCGTTTCTTTCCCTTTTAGTATGCAAATACTGTATGCACCAGTGATGATGATGACAGAAAGAAGTGAACGAGTGATGGGATTCGAAAGGCAAGGAAGAGATAAATACAGTGGCTGCCCAAGACCACCGGAGGACAGAAATTGTGACCCTATTTATTTACCCACCAGTCAAGTAGGCCTCACTAGCGTTGATTTTGTTCTGGGTGGGGGATTGCTGTTCTTTACTTTGTATCTTTGCCACTTCCCCACCCTGACCGAGTTTTAACTTTAAAAACATAAACAGCTGGAATTACATGCGTGCCCAGAGCTGTGGTTGTACTGGTGTAGGAAGTATGAAAAACAACCACACAAAAAAATGTGTCACGGTGTGTTGGACTCGGGCGCTCGTCAATTTTCGGGTATACGGAGTTATTGCTTTTAATGAAAAAGTACCCATTCATCTTTCATAGGAGTCGATATATTTGCGATTGAAGGAGGTGGGAGTCACCTGGTGTCAGAGGTTAAATTAGCGAGAAAATGGTTGCCAAAGTTTGATGACTTCAAAAGCTTGAGTGTCCTTGAAAACTGCAAGTTCACTATTTTTGTGCATTTCGTGTTTCCGGTAAAAATCCACGCAGACGTACACTTTTTAATGAACATAAAAGATATTGGTTATTAAAACATCGATAAAAGTTACCAACAGGCGGGCCAAATTTTGGTTTCTTCAATTTCATTGTTTTGACGAGCACCTGTTTTGGTCTCGATGCCGCACCAACGATCTACAAAAATCATGATGTTGTCGCGACTCGACACGTACCCAGGTTGGACTGCCCTGTTGATTTCCTTGGGTGAGGTTCATGAAGTACTGATCATAGTCCAGGTTCAAGCCTGTGTCCCGGTCATATTTGACCAGCCTGACCGCAGGGTTGTGTGCTGCGCCGGTCAGTCCGGGAATCTTAAACCTCCAGGGTGTTACAGACGGCGCCATGAACTGTGGAACTGCCATCTGCGCACCAACTGAAATCCAAAATAAAAGGTTTTCCTTTTTTTTAGTCCGACAAAGCTCAAAAGAAACAAAAGGGTTAAAAAACAACAATCAACAACTCTTTAACCACCCAGCGGACACACAGTGAGGTCCGATCAGCAGCAGACCATAGGCAAGTAGGCCTAACTAGCGTTGATTTTGTTCTGGGTGGGGGATTGTTGTTCTTTACTTTGAATCTTTACCTCTTCCCCACCCTGACCGAGTTTTTAACTTTAAAAACATAAACAGCTGGAATTACATGCGAGCCCAAAGCTGTGTACTGGTGTAGGAAGTATGAAAAACAGCCACCAAAAAAAAAATGTGTCACGGTGTGTTGGACGCGGGCTTTGGAACATTTCGAACTACCATACACAAATCATAAACACACATTTGCATATTTCATAGTATGTATGTATGTTTGTATGATGTTGTCTGTCTTTTTAGATTTCATAAAAAGAAAAATGCTGGGATGCTACATCTTCCCTATATTCCTATATTATGGCGCTAAGACCAATACTTTGACAAAAAAAAGAAGAAAACAAAAGAGCTGCGTTTGACATGTGCTGCTACAACAAAAAAGACGAACAATTAGGTGTGTCAGATTCTTCACACAAGACAAACCCTGCTGAACAAAATAAGATGTAGAAAAACACAATACTTTGGCGACTTAAAATGACACGAAACCATTGTGAAAGATGGAAGGATGTGGGGGCAGGAGAGCTGGGGAAAGATAAAGAGTGGCACGGATAGACAACATAAAGGCATGGACTGGCCTGAATATAGCAGACGCGCAATAACAGCTCGCAAATATTCATTTTAAAAGCTTCTCAAATATCACAAGAGAAAACTTATGTCGTTTTTCGTAGTGCACGTACCTATCAATATCAAGGTTTTATCTTGAACAAGTTTTGAGGTTTTAACTCTGAAAGTCATGAAAGGGAGTGTCTGTCTGTCTGTCTGTCTGTATGCTTGTCTGTCTGTTTCTGTATCTGCTTCTCTCTGCTTCTCTGTCTCTGTCTTTTTCGCTCTCTCTCTCCCCTTCTCTCTCTCTCTCTCTCTCTCGCTCTCCCTCTCTCTCTCTCTCTCTCTCTCTCTCTCTCTCTCTCT